TCTCTCCCTGTTTGTCTCTGTCTCTATAAATAATTTGAATCTGTTTACTCACATGTAATTCTATAAGGCAAGTCAGGATCAAGACAAACTTAATTCCAGGTGTCCCTGTCTGTCTGCTTTGCATTTGAAGTATTTTCAGGAATGTGCGGGCCCTGCAGCTGTTACCTCCTCCCCAGCTACCAGAAAAATGTCAGTTATAGTCCACAGGCCTGTCCGACCCTGTGCCAGGCCTATAGGGCTGCAACCTGCGGCCTTTATTCATGCAAAGACTTGGGCAGCCGAGCTTCTCCCCCTTAGCACGCCCTGGAGGGCAAACATGACGCTCAGATGAGAATATGTCATTTGGAAATACTTGCCCTTCCTGTGATCACTGAAGAACAATTGAATAGTTTTCTTTTGATACAAATACGTATGATGTAATTGAGGGATATTTTTTATAGCATGTAGTTACTCATTCACCTGATTAAATGGCTTTGGTTTCTGTTTGTTCTTTGTTAGGGTTAGGTTGAGAGTTGAGCTTTGGTATACTGCTAGGCTCAGTGTTAGGGCTGAATTTAGGATTAGGGTTAAGGTTAGGGTTAGGTTTTCAGAATAAATGTTTACGTATGTAATAATACGCTTTCTTTTTTTTTTTCTGAATGAAGAATTGATTCTGTATTGGGTTTCTGTTTTTAAATTGGACTTTTATTTGCATTACGTATAATTAATTATGTGTCATAGTTCACCCTGAATTGATGTCTTCCTTTTAAAACCCCCTTGTAGTTTGTAAGTCTCTTCAACATCATGGGTTGAATAACGGCTATGTGTTATTTACAAGTAATCAAAATCAGCCCAGAAGAGTGAAGACTGGGGGGAGCACAAACATTTCTGTGATATGATTAGATAGAGGGGAGGAGGGAGTATGTCCACAGAGTTGGCAGGCGAGATGATGGGAACGTGTGGGAACAAAACTAGGGCGCGGAAAGAGAGGGGGGCTCTTAGCCTCTGGCCTGCAGTGACCTCAGCAGGGACTGGGTACTGTTGATCAATAATCTTTATATACGATTTTTTTTTTTTTTTAATTCAGAAACCCAGGCACGGTTGTTCACTGGCCCTTTATCAGGCTCCGTTCTATTTTGTGTCTCTACAGGAAGTGTTACAATGAAGTTGGTTTTGAAATTGGCCTTGGGTGCTCTGACTTTTCATCCACCCTTTTTTATTTAAAAACAATTAGATCTTTTTCTTTTTTAATTGAGAAAGACATAGATGTTAGGGAGAAAGGCCCCCTAGCACATGTGGAATATATGTGTTCAGCGTCTGTGTGAGCTCTTCCAGAGGCAGCCGCGTGTCGGAATTCCAGGCGCGGCCACGTGTGTGCCTAAGTCTGTGGCCGTCGGTGAAGATGGAATTTCCACCTCGCACTGCAGACGGTTTCAGCAGATGTGCCCTGCTCCAGAAAGAGCCAAGTTTCTTCTTCTTTCTTTCTTTCCTCTGTACTTGTCATCACTAAATTTTTCAGAATTTCATAAAAGGTTATAAACAGCAAAAAGGAACACCCATGCCTCTGTTTCTCCAGCATATTTCTAAGTTCCTGAGTTGATAAATCAGCTCTTGCCAATTACCACGGTGAAAATGGAATCCTAGTCATTCTCAGGAAGGTGGCTATTTTTCCAAGTTCGTTTTTCATAAGGAGGTGATTGTCAGTTCCTGGCTTGGAGGCCACAAGGCTCCAGAAAAGAAACTGAGCTAGCATGCCTGAAAATCACGAGACTCTCTTAATGTGAACGAGAAGGCTAGTTATCCAAAGTTTAACAATTATCTTTAAAAAATAAGGGATCAGTTACAGACTGGAAGCATTTATTTGGCTTTCATTGGCTAATTTCATTAAGCCAGTAGAAATTGGTAGAAAAAAAATTGCTACAAATTTTAAAGGTTTAGCCTTACACTTTAAAAGCTTTAAGTATTTGCTCTTAAGTGTCTATGTGAGAAAATTGGTCTTGTTATTGGAGTAATGCGTGGGTGGTCTTTCTTCGTTGCTAGCGGGAGTGGGGTTCTTGGGCCACCCCGGAGCAAGCGTTCCCGAGGCCCCCACGGGAGGGTGAGGTGCGGTAGGAAGCTTTATTTGTGTGGAATCACATCCCTGGGTTTCCAAAGTCCCATTTCCCTTAACCCAGTCCTGGAAGAGGTGCAGCTGGGGTCAGCAGAGCCAGAGGCAAAGGCAGTGTCCAAAGTTTCCGTTCCATGGCCGAGCCGGGTCCTGTTCAGCATCTGGCTAGCTGTCGTCCATCAGTCCGTTGTGTGGGGTCCCCATGGCCATGAGCCGTGTGGGTGAGTGCGGGAGCGTGAGAGTCCCGCAGCCCAGAGCGCAAGAGGCAAGCGAGAGCTCCTCTGTTCAGGAGATTAAGAATCTCAAATTTCATGCCCCCGCGGTGGCCACGCCTATGTCATACCTGGCCAATGACCTGTTCCCAGGTCTGGCTGGCAGGCAAGCACCTTCCCCTGTCACCCAGACTTTCCTGGGCAAGCATCCTTCCCCTGTCCAGTCCCTTCCCTTAGGGACCTGTGGGGAACAGGCCCGGGGAGTGTTAAACTGCAGCTTCCTGGCAAAGCTGCACAAACCACGTGCCTGTGCTATCTGACCTTCCCTTTGCTCCTTTCCAGTTATGAGTAACTGGGCTCATCACAATGGTAGCAGCCTGCCCATTATAAGATACAGAAGATATACTACTAACATGCCATAAAAATTAAAGTGCCCATCTCCTGTTAGGAATTTCAAGAGATTTTATTGTACTGCATTAAAAAAGTGCATTTTTGATAGCTTTTGTGTTTAAATAGAAGTTTCAAATTAGAGATTACAAACGGAGACCAGTTGGCTTCCCTGATATTTAAAGTTTCTTTTTTTTCTTTGATTAGTTGCTAGTATTTAGAAACTGGGAGACTTTTACCTAAGAATGCAGATTTCCTGGTTTTTGTGGCGACCTTGCAGTACCAGCCTGCCGTCCTGGGAGCATGAGCCCCGATTGCAGAGCAGCTGCCCCCCCCCTTCAGCTCCCATCGTCTCTGCCACACTCTGCCCTTCCTGCTCCCTGCCTGCCCATGCAGGCGTCTGAATCTTCCATGCTTAATTAAAATATAAAATTTACAATGTGGTTTGGGCCTGAAAATCAGCTTTGACAGTTGCTGAATTCTATTCCAGAATTCTGTTTAATACAATTTTTTAAAAAAAATGACCAATGCTTTCATTTTAATTGGATCCATAGTTGATGAGCAGAAATGTGGGTCTTTTCAAATACCGTACGTGGCATTGAAATTCAGTGTCGTATTGCAACTCATTTTACTGATTGATGATCTTGTGAGTAAAGGCATTTATTCAATAAAGGAACAAAGACAGTTTCTGACTTGGACACTCCAAACATATGGCTAATCTTCTAAATGGACCAAACAAAACAAAGTCTAGTCTTTAAAACCACCTTCATTGAGCACCCACCACAGGTAAGAGACCCTGCATTATGCAAAACTGACAAAGAAGCAGTTTCCATCTCTTTTTAGGGAAATTAAACAGGAAAAAATAAAGACAAAATAAAGTGTGAAGTGAGAAATAGACAATCCGGATTTCGGGAGAGCCCTCTAGGAATTCAAGGCAAGGAGGTTCCATGGGGGAGAGGGAGGGGTGGTCAGTGAAGGCCAAGAGAAGTTGGACTTGCTGTTTGTTTCCCAAATTCACTTTGACTTCTTATATGACACAACGGGTCTGGAGCAATGATGAATGACAGATAACTTGGACATGCTGGGGAGAGAGAGCAGGGGCCCCCACTATGGAATGGTGTCGTGGGCAGGTGTATTACAGTGGTGATCCTGATGTATCATGGATGTTTGAAACTTACCATGATAAAGCTCCAAATACATTGTAATGACTCAACTATTTTTCCTCTGTCCACACTGCTCCAAAGTCATTATTTTGGGTCATCTGGCTTTAGATGGCATGAGTGCCTCACTTAGCTATTATTGCTGTGGTATAAGTTGGCCCCATAAATACTGATGCAGACTTAAGAGTGACAGAAATGGATTATAAGGTGCTCCAAATGGCACAAAATATTGTTAACATTTTAAAATATATATATCTTACTGATTTCAGAGAAAGGAAGGGAGAGGGAGAGAGAGATAGAAACATTAANCTCAACTATTTTCCCTCTGTCCACACTGCTCCAAAGTCATTATTTTGGGTCATCTGGCTTTAGATGGCATGAGTGCCTCACTTAACTATTATTGCTGTGGTATAAGTTGGCCTCATAAATACTGATGCAGACTTAAGAGTGACAGAAATGGATTATAAGGTGCTCCAAATGGCACAAAATATTGTTAACATTTTAAAATATATATATCTTACTGATTTCAGAGAAAGGAAGGGAGAGGGAGAGAGAGATAGAAACATCAATGATGAGAGAGAGCCATCGATCGGCTGCCTCCTGCACGCCATCACTGGGGATCGAGCCCACAACCCGGGCATGTGCCCTGACTGGGATTCTAACTGCGATCTCCTGGATCCTAGGCTGATGCTCAAGCGCTGAGCCGCTTCAGCCGGGCAACATTTATTTTTTTAAGAGGACCATCAGCATGGACCCACACTTAAAAAAAAATAAAAAATCTTAGGCATCCAATACCCCTCTCCTTTGTAGCTTGAGAAGCACTTGTTTAATCTGATTTTCCATTTTGTGATACCACCTGAAGCTCACAGGAGGAGAGTGGCCTCAAGCTCACACAGTACGAGTTAATGGCAATAGTGGCAAAATCCTATTTCTACTCTAGTACACATTCCACTGGAACTCATTAAACATGAGAAATATTGTTCACTATTGTGTGTTGCAGACTTTTTAGATTAGTTTGGGAAGCCTCATGGTCCCATGTGATACTGCTATGGGGAAATGTTTTAGGTGAGACCAGTAACGAGCTCATGCTCCTTGGAATGAATGATGACTGTAAATGGGGTGAATGACTGTCTCCCTTTACCCAGGGAACATGGTTTCCTGGGAACACGGAACTTCTGATGCAAAGATGGACACTTGGCTACCCAACCTGTAAATATATGAATGCATAAAGCCTAAGACATTGCTTCTGGTACAGAAGCCAGGTATTGAGATGCTACCTCAGAATGTCCCCCCCAGAGTTTGCCCATTATTTGCAAAACTCTGTTCTATCGAAACTTGGTTCTATCCATACCTTCTATTTTGAATGGTTGCAAACTATTTTGTTATTGCCTCTGTAGGTAAAATAGTCCGTTGCTGTGAGTTTACGTAATTCTTCACTGCCACCTAGTGGCTCGATCCCACAAAGCCTTGGTAATGAGCAACTTTAAATGTAACATTTCTAATTAAGGCTTGGACATCAAAACGAACCGACGGGTCAAATTAATTTGTCAGGAGATTGTTAGTAACTAGCCATCATTAAAAGCCCTCAGAATGATTAAATGTATACATTTTTTAGCTTGAAAAATGTTATGTGTTTTTATGTAGGAGAGCCTTTCGTACAGTGATTTTGAGTCTTTACTGATTTTGTGCCGTATGTAAAATGGAATGGCGTGGCAGGACCTCATTGTTTGCAGCTTTTATGCAGCATTTTAAGGCTGAGGTGACTCATGTTGCTTTTCAACCCGGACTATAAGAAAACTAACAAAAAGAGTTAGAGAAACCAAAGCTGGTAGGCCAAAGCAGCCTTATCATTTTGGTATTTTTTCCGACAGTCTTCTTTGAGGGGCAGAGGGGTGTGTGTGTGTGCATGTGTGTGTGCGTGTGTGTGCGTGTGTGTGTGCGTGTGTGTGCGTGTGTGTGTGCTGCACAGGAGGCTGTGTACCTGCAGTCACATCTGTACAGAGCGAGACTGGTGCACACACTGCCTTGTAAGCTTTGTCCGTTACTAAGGACCTTCGCAGTTTATCTCGAGCATTGTTCCATTTATACGGTCCAGGGTTTAACAGAGCAGTGTGTCTTCCTGGCTGTGTGTCTTCTCGGGGCAGACTGGGTCCTGTTCTGTGGCCCACGTGTTGGTGGGTGGATTAGGGGGTATTGGGCCAAAGGAGAGGCTGCAGCAGTGGCTGGGTCTGGGGGGTGGGGAGGAAGGGCCTGTCCCTCTGGGGTCCCTGCTCAGGAGCCCTGCCTCTTCCCTGCCCCCGGCCAGTCCTCTGCGGGCACACGGTAGATGCTCTTCCCCCTCTCTGGCTTTTCTTGCAGCATCGGTATCCTGTATGGTTTTGCAGCCAACCACCACCTCAGGACCCACATCGGGAAGACTCGGGAACTGGCAGACAGCAATTTCAAGGACCTGAGAACTCTCCTGAACCAAATTTCATCGGTGAGAACCCCTGTCTGTGTGCCCCTGATGCGTGGAGCTTGGGGCCTGTCCGAGTTCCTGTATATATGTGAAATTTCACTGGGACCTTCTGGAAACCCAGTGAATAAATGTAGACAGGTGTTATCTTTTAATATTTATTTATTGGTTTTAATGTTATTTGATCTAATGAAGATAATTTAATTCTACTGTCAGTTACTTGAACGTTTCTTACTGAGCTACAGGGAGCAATATGTTCATAATAAAAAAAAATAATGCTTTTTATGTGATAATAAAGGGATTGTACAACCCTTTAAATCTTTTCTATGTTTAAAGATTTCAGTACTTCAAGAGGCAAAATATCAGAAGTTTTTTTTATCCTAGATGTAGTCAAAGGCCTAGCAAGTGATTTCCGAAAGAGTACAAAAACATGATTCAAAATTGGTGTTATTTTATATTATTTTATTAAGCGTAACATAAAATATGGGACATATTGTCAACATGCTTAAGCGTTTTAAGGGTCTCATGATTTCTTTTTCAAAAGAAAACCCTTTGGGTGCCATTGTCTTCTGTTTGGCGGGACAGTTAACTCTCCGCTGTTGGCATGAAAGTACTTTTGTAATGAAACCTTTGTTCTTTACAAACATCCGTTTGCTAATGTCTGTGTAGACTGGGGAGTGGGCACACAGCTCGCACACACACACAGGTTGTCTTTGGGGGACAGGAACATGACGGCCTGAAGGCACCTTTTCCCTGTGTCCCAGTAGCATGTTGATGTCTTGCCTGCTCAGAACGTTGTTTTAAAAATGACTGAGCAGAAGCCAGCGCGAGCATAGGTGGCTGAGCTGAGGGGACCCACCCGGGGAGGACGTGCGCTCCTATGATCTAGCAACGGGCCCGTCGGGGTCTACGGCGCTCCTCACACAGCGTGTGCAGTCTGAAAAGTACTGACGCATTAAGTACTGTGCTAGTTTTTAAATATGTGGTCAGAACTGAAACAGCAAAGAATGCAGGCTTTCTTTTAATACTGAGACTAGAGAAGCTAATTTTATAGCAATACAGAGAGGGAGGTGTTCCATTTCTCCAATCTGTGAATAAAAGTTCATAGTATTTTTATCTGTCACTGTAAAAACTCCAAAATGAAACCTTTTTTCCCTAAAATGTTGGCAAAATTAAATACATAGCGATCATGGCTGGTGAACGTCGGGGTTGCTTTCATAGACTTGGAAGGATAGTAAATTGTTCTGACTTTTGGGGAAACATGTCTACTTCAGAATGTATGCAGAGCTTTTAAGAAGTCGGTGAAAAACAAGGCCGAGAGTGTGTATCGTTGTTTTACAGAGGAAACATACCTGGCCCCAAGCACAGTATGATGTTTCTCCTTACACAAGTCATTGGAGAAATGAAAAGTTAGGTAATGACACACGTTTTCACCGAAGAGATTGGCCACAGTTTTTTAAAATAACAGCAGCGTCGTGCAGGGCGTGGGGAAGCTGCTGCAAAGACGGATGAGTTAGCAGCCCCTCGAGGCAGCTCGGAGCAGCCCAGGAAAGAGGCCCCGGTGAGGGAGGTTATAGCCGGCCTCCAATTCTTCTTAGCCTCCCTTCCAGAGCTGGATCCGTCTACACCCCTCAAACCCGGGCCGGCTCTGTGACTTGCATTGACCAAAAGAACTCGGCAGACGTTGACCTTAAGCTTCCCGAGGCCCCGCAGCCTCCAGCCCTGTTTTCTCACTGCCAGGACCACAGTGTGAAAACAGCCAGGCTGCATGCTTGGGAGGCGAGAGGCCACAGAGAGAGAGAGAGGGGTCCCTGTGTCCCCAGCCATGCCGGCCCCGACCAGACCAGCCACACGACCAATGCACGGAATCCTCAGAAATAACAAATCATGTGTCTTAAGCCAATAAGCTTTGGAGTATTCTTAAGAAGTCTGGGTGTCAGAAAATGTAAACATCTCTAAGAGCCTGCTTTCTTATTAAAATGTTCTGGTTTGGAATAATTTTTGTACAATATATCTCTTTTTATTGTGGCTTTGGACTTTAGAAGAGAAAGATACATGTTATTTTATTTATTTATTTATTTTATTTATTGAATTTATTGGGATGACATTGGTTAATAAAATTATATAGGTTTCAGGGGCACAATTCTATAATACATCATCTGTATATTCTATTTTATTTTATTTTACTATTTTATTTTACTTTATTTTAGCAAGTCAATTATGCGCTGGACCAGTACACCACCACTAAGGAAAAGGCATTCTCAGATCTAGACAGTGAGTAAAATTTAAAGTTGCCTCGAATTTTTTTTGTCTGTTTTGGCCAGAAGTCGCTACGGCCACCTCCCAGGTAAAATCTGCTGTTTCTACAATTTCTGTGTGAAAGAGGGAAAAACAGAAAAGTGATCCGCTAGAGTCTGTGACACTGCAGCGTGTGACTCGGGATGAGCACCTGGCGTTTATGGTGACAGTGCTTTGCTTTCCTGCAGTCACAGGGGCTTGTACCTCGTGTCCCACGTGAGGGAGCAAATGCACGTCTGTCAGGTTCATTGTTAAAGACAGAGCCAGGCCCCGGAGAAGCCCAGGGGCTTCAGAAATAGAGGGTGGTGCGCCCGGCCCTGCGGCCCACAGCCTTGCTCAGGGTGCTCAACCTGGGGCTGTTCCGCCCTCGAGGCAACAACTGGTAGCACCTGGAGACATTTTTCGTTGTCCCAACCAGGTGGGGGGGGGGCTACCGGCATCCGCTGGTAGAGACCAAGGATGCCACTAGGAACCCACAATGCTCAAGACAAGCAGCCTCCACAGCAAAGAATTGTCCACCCCTAATAGTGACAGTGCCACTGTTGAGACCCTGGTCTGGCTGGAGACACTAGGGCCACAGGCAGTCACAGCTCATGATAAATGCCGTGTTCCTAGTACATGAAATACGAGTCTCTGCTGATTAACTCCTCACTGGGGCACAGCAGGCGGGCACCTTGCGAAGCGTCAACGCCCAACCAGGGTCTAGAATAAAAATGGGGTTTCACGGCGGGAGAGCCTAGAGGCCCAGGCGTGACCCCCTGCGTTGCGCAGAGCAGGAGTGGGAGGAGGGGAGAAGCGCGTGGACGGACCCTCACGCTCCCTGTGCTCTTTGATTTAGATGTTAAGTCATTACTTGGAGGCAGAATTCAGGAACAACTGCGGCCTAAAGTGATCCCCGTTCTTGATAGCGTCAAGGCCATGGCAGAAGGTGAGTGCTGTGACAGACAGAAACGACGGACAGTGTCCTGTCGGGAGGTCTCGGCTTTCCAGGCTCACGGTCCCTCCCCGTGGCTTCCCTTAGAGGCGGCCAGGGCGACAGCCACAGCCTGTGCTCCTGCAAGCAGGCCAGGCGAAGGCACCTGGTGTCATAACGGTGTTTTTTATAGTTGTGTCATAGTGGTCATACCGGTGGTCTACCAGCCATTTGAAATAATAATGGTGGAGTTTTAGGGGCCCGCCCACCGTTTCTGTTGATAAAGTTACTGGGACTCAGACAAGCTCATCTGTTTGGCTGTCATCAGCAGCTGCTCTCACACTAGGGTGGCAGAGTTGGTTACAGCAGGGACCCGGTGGCCCACAGAGCCTGAAATGTTTACTCTCTAGGCCCTCCGGGAAAGCCTGTTGGCTTGTCCTACAGCAAGACTAGTAGCCTGTGGGATTTTACGCTTCAGGGTCTACTGAGTACTCTTTCCTTTTCCCCAAAAGAACAAGTTCTGTAAAGTGGAAATATGTATAATATATTCGAAATCACCACAGTCGATGGAATAAGTGAACGAATATACTTAATAAACGAAATATTTGACTGCAATATGAATAATAAAAAAGACCTCCCAGGCCCTTCCAGATGCTGTGTACCAGGTGGCCACAACTCCGTGGGCTGGTGCAGTCCCCCGCATTTTACCAACTCAAGAAAGTACAGCCCCGAGACGGTGTGTCTAGTCCAAGAGCAGGGAGCTGGGCCGCGGTGGAGTTGGGATTCAGACCCCGGCCTGGCTCTGAAGCCTGTGTTGCCTGGACCAGCCTAGATGGCGTTTGGGTCCGCTCGGGAGCGTGAAGATGTAGGGTGCTCCGTGCCGTCCGCAGCAAGACCACAGTGCCGCTCTGGGGGAAGAGCTAGGGTTGTGGACTCAAGAGCCGGTGTGGCCACAGCAAGAGGCCCTGCCCCCCCCACCACTCATGCACTGTGCCTTTGGGATATTGGTCAGCCAAGGTCCAGCTCCCAAACTCTGTGAAGGAAGGGGCTGGACAGAGTTCATGGATGGTCAACTCATTTTGTTTGTAAGATTCCATGTATAAGTGAGATCACGTGACCGGCTTATTTCTCTGCCTGGCTTATTTCACTTAGCATAATCCTCTCCAGGTCCTCTATGCTGTCCCAAAGGGTACGAGATCCTTCTCCTTTACAGCTGCGTAGTATTCCATGGTGTGAATGTCCCACAGCTTTTTTATCCACTCATCTACTGATAGGCACTTGGGCTGCTTCCAGATCTTAGCTATTGTAAATTGCGCTGCTATGAACATAGGGGTGCATATATTCTTTCTGATTAGTGTTTCAGGATTCTTAGGATATATTCCTAGAAGTGGGATCACTGGGTCAAATGGCAGTTCCATTTTTAATTTTTTGAGAAAACTCATACTCTTTTCCATAGTGGCGGCACCAGTTTCCATTCCCACAAACTGTGCACTAGGGTTCCTCTTTCTCCACACTCTTGCCAGCACATGTCATTTGTTGATTTGTTGATGGAGCCATTCTGACAGGTGTGAGGTTGTATCTCACTATGGTTTTAATTTGCACTTTTCTGACGATTAGTGACTTTGAGCATTTTTTCGTATGTCTATTGGCCATCTGTATGTCAAAAAAAAAGTGCATGAAAGATGCCATGTGGTTGGCGTGGACCCTGACTTTTTGCCCTATGGTTAACCCAAGTATTCATGTTTGAATTATAATTCTCTCTGGATTAAAAGCAATGAAAACACATTTATTTTTCTCTTCAGTGCCTCATGCATTAGTGTTAAAGTTCTATTATTTTTAAGTCAGGCCAAATAAGTGAACATTTAGCCTCGGGTATTTCCAGGGCTTTTTAAAATGTGCTTAATAAACTGCTTCAGCCATATTTTTTCTAAAAATTCTCTGCAGGCTTATGTGTTTAGTAGCCTTTGGGGAGAGCAAAAACATGCACATTTATTTGTGCAAATCATATTTGAGCTGCATGCCAGGATCTGTGAAGGAAATGTGCTGTGAGCTGGTATAATGTTAACTAAAGTGGAGAATCTGAAATCTCTCTTCACTGACTTTAGATACATAATACAGGTGATCTTGACAGGCCTGACATGACTCCCAGAGTTATAACCCATTAGTTATTTTATAGACATAAAATGCTTTGAAGCCCTTGGAAAATACATATATATATATTTATACCTCTAGTCCTTGGGACATAACAGAATGTGCCCGTAGCCCAGAACGCCTGTAGACGGTCCCAGCTGGACACATCCCCCAGGCATCCATTTATGTTATCATCCATCATCTGTTGTTGTTGTTTGTTTCTTGCTATAAAATAACTTACCTTGAAGTCAGAGTGGAAAGTGGTAAACCACACGGCGTGAAGATGCGAGGTGTGTGCTGTGTGATGTGAAGTGTCTCGTATGCCCTTTTGCTCTCTGTGGTGTGTTTCTAGTCGCAGCTGTGTCCTTTGTTCCTTGCTTTGCTATGGTATACGTTTATTTAGCCTCTGATGTGAGTGTGTGCCAGCTCCATTCTTTGCCCATAGTTCTGGGAAGTAGGTGGAAGAGATGAGAAACTGAGGCCCAGAGTGACTCTTTGATAAAATCTTAAATATTGTTATAGTCTCTAACACTGTTATGATACAACTGGAGCATATTCAAGAGAAGAGATAGTTTGAAGCAGGGGATCCATGGGGACAGGAGGGGACATCTGTAATACTTTCAATAATAAAGATAATTTAAAAGAAAAGATTTGCTCTTCAGATGAGGAGATAGAATTTGGGCCCCATGGTCATATAGTCCAATCCTGGAAGCCTTCCCAGCTCTCATCAAAGCAAGGTGCTGAGGTGCCAACCTGGGGACATGGGCAATGCCATCTCCTAAGGGCAAACCTGCTATAACTACAGACTCTCCTAGTAACCGGGAGATGGCCTGACCAGCTTCCTAACGACAGATGAGGAAACCAAGGTCGAGAAAGGTGAAGGAGTTTTCCAGGGGTGCACTTACAAGGTAGTAACAGAACTGGGGGGTAAGACCTCAAATTACTTTTTTTTAAAAATATGTTTTTATTGATTTTAGAGAGAGAGGAAGGGAGAGTGAGAGAGAAAGAGAAAACCAATTGGTTGCCTCCTGCACGCCCCCACCCCCCATAAAGGGACTGAATCCACAACCGGGCATGTGCCCTGACCTGGAATCGAACCAGTGACCTTCTGGTGCATGACCGATGCTCAAACAACTGAGCCGCAGCAGCCAGGGCACCAAACTACTTTTGATTCCACAACATGGAAGCATTAAAGTGTGTGCGTGTGTGTGTGTGTGTGTGTGTGTGTGTGTGTGTGTGGTGGTGGTGGTGGTGGTGGTGCTGTTGTTGTTTTAGCAATCAAATTTACATGGGAGCCCAGGAAAGTTGGGGGAATGAGTTTTTAAGGACATTCACCCTTTCCTAGCAACACCCAAATGCAGCTCTGCCGTCTGATTTGTGAGCCTGGAGGACTTAGTCACTCGGGAGAGCAAGGCCCTGTAATTTAAATTTCCCGTCTCTTCCTGCTGGGGCTGCTGGGGCGGAAAGTCACAGCAGAAAAGAGTTGTAATTTGCTTCCTCCCTAGTCATGCACACGGAGCTCTGCGTCCCAGGGAAACTGGGGGAGCAAACAATTTTTAGGGATTTCCTAGTAGAAGAACGTGCCCCAGACTGCGGGGCCCCCAAAATAAAACATGAACTCACTGCCACGGAGGAGGTTCAGTCTGATCGTTCTGATCCCCACGTTTCACAAGGAGCATGGGGCGGTCCCACCATTTGCAGATGAGGAATTTGCCTGAGCACACTCAGGAGCTGGCTTTGGGGACGCGGCGCTCGGGGAAGCTCGGGCCTGCACCTCGACCCGCCTGAGCCCCAGCCCGCGCTCGTCGCTGTCCCTCTGTGTTTAAGTCCGGCTCTTCAAATCGCCACAGCCACCGTGTGCGTGGGCAGGATCTATTTTTAATGTGGGTTAAAACTACATGGGCGTGAAGATGCCAGCTGGTCTGGGCTGGCGTCTTCAAGGCCGGGCGGTGCTGGGGTGGCGACACCTTCTCCTGAGGCTGCTGCCCGAATGGTGGCCCGTTCATGCCACACCCATATGTCCCCATCACGTTCCCCAAGTGGGAAGGCTGGGAGCTGGTCGGCGTGGCTGGCAGAGGAGGCCAGCAACGTCCCTGTGTGCCCCTCTCAGACCGACCCTCACAGCAGGCTCCTCTGGGAGCCCTCCAGTGGCACTTACAACGTCACCCCAAGGTCCTTTGTGGGGACTCTGTAGATGAGCCCGCGGATGCCTCTGTTCTGAAGCGGACTATGTGCCCACAGAAATCGTTGAGACCAAAGGCAACCTGTTGAAGACCAGCAAGAGCTTAGGGGAGGCGAAAAAGGCGACTGCAAAAATCAACACCGACCTGCAGGAGGTGAAAAAGGACCTGGAGCAGGTGCTCAGCGACCCTGTGTGCTCCTTACCACCCCAGGACAAGTGCGAGGACATCAGAGCGGCTCTGGGCCAGCTGGACAACAGCACCAACCTGGCTCGGGTGAGGAGGCGACCCGCTGCTCGCCGGGCAGCGTCTTTGGGACGGCGGGCGGGACGGGGCGGCGCGCGGGTGC